ATGCACCTGTAAATAAGTTGCCCTAGTTGCCCCACCCGGCGTTATATTGCGATCCGGCCGTTGGCTGGAGTGCCGTTTACCGGACCTCTTCCTTGAATGTTTTCTAATTCGACTTTCAATTTCATCATCAGCTTCGAAACATTTAGCAAATCATTACGATTGAAATAAAAAGGGTTTTGACTATGAGAGAGGTGAAGCGCTAGTTCAGTACTTATTCTTGCAGTTAGAGACTAGAAGGATAGATGTGATTGGCTACGACGGAAGATATTCAGATCAAAAGGCAAAGTTGAGGTGGATTTATCTCATAACGTAGCGACAAATATACCAGTCACTGCTAGGCCTATATGAAAATGTTCAAATTACTCTCATGTACCATTTTTCCGGACGAGTGTTTGTCATCCAAAGAGTATTGAGGTAAACCGCGCGTCCACTTTGTTTGATGAATAATAGATCTAGGAATGTTGTAAAGCTTGTGTGAAACGCTGCTGTACGCAGTTGCGTACAGGACCTTATGTCAAAAGACACTGTTGATTGGCAAACTGATCGCATATAAAACCTTAATTTGTGAAAACATTGGAAGAAGATGCGAGTGTTAAAATAAGAAGCTTATCAAATGGAGGAAAAACTATGTACTGATTATAAACACTATTCTCGCCTTACTGCCAAAGAATGATGAGATACGTCACGACATACCTGGACCAGGAACGGTTGACGTGCTCCAGCGCAAATTGCTGCAACGCAATCAATTGCCCATCTGGATCTCGTATCCTTGAAATCCTTTTCTGATCCGATTGAGAATATTTCTGTTGGAGATACCCGCGCTTGAGCTTTCGCCTGATGCTTCTTCATCAGGAACTACATTTATCTATTCCGCATTTTTGCTCAACCACTCTTCAAATATCTGTATTTTCAAATTTCAATTCTCATTTTTGCATGTTGGTTTTTCAGAGCTTTACGAGGATTTTCAACGTGAAGAGAAGTATTGGTTTGAAACTAAATAGAGATGTCTGTTTCTACTAAACGAAGATATATTACAAACAAGGTGAGTACTTCCAAAACAAGTTATACTTCCTATAACGTATCTTTGTTTAAGTGCCCTTTTTTATACTGCTTCTTCTTCGCAATTCGTAATTTCGGTTTACCTTTACCCAGTTATAATCCAGGCAAATTCGTGTTTCAGGTAGAATCGGAGTACTACACACCCGTCGAAGGCGACATCATCGCTCAGGTTAAAAATACGAGAGGGAACAATCTTCACGAGGTAGTTAAGTTATGAACATTCAAACAAATTAGGAAATATGCCAGTTTTTAATAATGCACATGTAAGACATGTGTGGCGGCGTAGCGTTATGGAGCAAAAGCTCGCCGCAATCCCCTGTGGCATATCCTGAAGACCTTACGCACTGCGTCGCCGTTGATTGCGCTGAGCTGTCATTACTTGCGTTGCGCTGATCGACTGCGTGCGCTATAAGCCCAGCCCTAAATAGTTAGTGAACAGGAAAGTTGCAATCAATGGGATAACGCTGATTGGAGCAACCGATGTGTTTTTCAAGTTCAAGTATTTTGATGTTTTCAACAATATTGGCTAAGATTCAATTCAAAATTCAGTGAAATAAATGTTGGGATATAAAAGTCCATACATATAATATAGATTACATTTAATCTAATAAATAGCCTTGTCCGATGTGTATATGGATATTTTCCTGAAATATCAATTACTGAATTATCATTGCAATATTGGAGTTATTATTGAAATCTTGAGTGAACGACATGTGGAAGCTATCAAATTTGATTTCATGATACTTCAGGTTTGAAATGGTGTGTGCTCTCCTCCACACCTTAAATCGCAACTGATTAAAGCTCAGCGCAGC